CACAACGCCCGGCCATTTTTTGGTTGCAACCATCATTGTTGTTTGGCGGGCCCGGGCTGGGGATTCGAACCCACCACCTTAGGTATATGTGGCTGGCGCCTTAGCAGCTTGAGCCACAGGCGCCGAGCCACAAAATCCATTCTTATATTTAAATTATAGTTCTTTTATGACATAGGAATTAGTTTCAGAAAAGACTATTTTCTGCAGGGACAAAAAGGGAAAGATTGCATCTTTAATTTATGTACTTAAGTCCATATTCTTAATTAAATTACCTTTTATGCTAATTAAAAATTGACAATTATATTGTTAAGTAACATTTAAAACTTGAAACTTTTTCTAACTAAATGTTCTTTGCTGTTTTGTAGAGCAACTCAAGCAAGAAGACCTTATAAAGCAGGAAAAATCTGTACTCTCTGTGGAAGCAAAGACAGATGCACAGATTTTCTATGCAGTAAGCTAAAGAAAATAACTTAAATATAAAAAGAAAAAATTCATAAAGCATTGGACAACAAGGAAAACAAAGTGCTTGAACACTAGTTGTTTATTGTTATGTTAGTATTGTTCCTTTGAACAGAATGTTATTACTATTTTATCAAAGGAGGGTTAACAGAATATCATCCTTAGATGTCTCTGAACTTTAGAGCTTTTTCTGTGCTTCCTCACCCTTATTCTTACCCCTAAGGACATTCCACAGTCAGAAAGAAGGAATGAGAACTAACAGTTACATTCTGAAAAGATTTCACAGTTAATTCCTAAAACAGCAGCCTATTTGACAATGGCTACTTTAAAGGATAGGCTATTCTAAAATATTTCTAAAAAGAAAAAAAAATAAAGTAGCAAATATTTAACAGCATTTTTTTTCAGTTTTTTCTCTAAAAAATAACAGAAATCTCCCCCAAATAGGCAGAAAGTGAAAAGTAGACAGTATGTTTAATTAAATTTTTCTTTTACTTTTTCTAAACTTAAGAGCTTATAACTCCAAAAGTATAACTATACTTAGAATATACAATGCTTAGAAGAATGTGGTAGAGGATAAACTCAGTCAGTAAATATCATATTATGCTTTTGTGATAAATAAAACCAAAACTAGTGGACAGTTTCCTCGTAACACCAGTGCTGGGGTAAATTCCACCCTAGCATTTCTGCTTTTGCTTTATTTAAATCAAGATGCAAAGTTTTTCTCTTAGAGGTAGCCAAACATTGTATGTTAGATTCTAAGGAGTGTGACAGGGGTCCACATAGTGGGGAGAGAGCCTGAGCAGAGTGAGGAGGCTTTTTGCACAGAGGCGTGACCTTCATGGGAAGGGAGAGCCCTATGAAGTGAACTGAGCATCCAGGCCTGAGGTCTGGCGTGGGGTCTCAGAGCCAGAGCAGGATGAAGGGATACCCACGCAGGTGGCTCAGCAAGAGTGTCTGTGCCCAAGCTAGGTGAGGTAGGTGCTAACATGGAGAGAAGCTTGGTGTAGGGTTTCTGCATCAGAGCAGATGAGGAGGGCGTCCATGGAGAGAGGGTTGCTAAAGTCCAAGCAGAAGGAGAAGAGTCATGTATAGACATGGCTGACAAGAGATTTCAAAACCTAAGCAAGTAAAGGGGCCATCAGTGCTTAGAGGCAACCTCAGACAAAGTGGTAGATGAGAGAGGCTTTAATGTGGGGACGATGACCTGGCGTGGATGGAATCAGAAAGGAGTCCACACATTGGAGAAGCCCAGAACTGGGTTTCAAAGTCTAGCAAGGTGGGCGGCTTTCCAAGTGGAAGCCCAGCCTTTAGGTTGGCATATTACAAATTTTTAAATATAAATATATTGCCAAAATTGCATTGGATATACTTACAGAATTATTTCTTGAAATAAAAATTTCACCTGACATTCTTTATTTTTATTTGCTAAATCTGGCTGTTCAACCAGCCTGGTGTGGGTATCTGAGCCCAAGCATGATAAGGAGGACACCGCATGAGGGAGGGTAGAGGCGATGGTGGGAGTGGAAGCACACTGAGGAATTGATCAGTGGTAAATGAAGTAAAGATAGTAAGGGCTGGTTTTCTCACTGTCTGAAATAGAGTACAGACATGTAAAGGAAGAAAACAAGCACAAATCTTATGGTGGTGAATCATTTAATTGCTAAAAGTATTAGCAATTATGAATTTTAATAAATATAAATAAACATAGATCTATATGTGTGTTTATGTATGCATCTATGTACATGTATTCCCTAGCTCTGAGAGGCCTTTGGAGAAACTGACACCAAAGCAATAAGCACAACTAGTCACCAGGTCTTGATTTCTTAATTGTAGTCTGCAAGAAAAGGCATCAGGGCTCATTGGAGTTTAATTCCAGAGTGGGGGCCTGGAAAGTGTACCAGTAAGATAAATCTAGACCATCTTTTTTCCTGTTCAAAACCAAGGAAGTACCCCCTAAAATGATAAGGATGTAAGAAAAGGGACACAGATACCATGTTAGGGGCTTCTACTTGTTAAATCTTGGGAAAGTTTGAAGGCAGAAGTAATGATAATAGGGATAAATTGCAACCTATTGGATAAAAGTGGAAGATATGATTTCATACTAATGGAGATTAATAAATGAATAAATTAAAAATTTGATGAGAAACAGTGGATTTACCTAGTAACAAAGTAATTCCCCATAAAAAATGTATATCTACTAAGAGGAAAAGAGTAACTTAACAGTAGCGTAACCTGGCAGGCACCACCCTAATTAAGGGATCAAAGTGATCGTCATTAGTAATGGAAAACCATATCCCCCCAAGAGGAGGCAAGAAGATCATGGCATCCCTTCTGTGGCATTTCTAGCAATGATACATAACCTAACCCAATAACGAGGAATCATATAATAAACCCAAATTGCAGATTTGTTTTAAAAATTGAAGATTTGTTAACAAAATAACTGACTCTTTAGTTTCAAAAATGTGAAGGTCATATAAGTCAAAGAAAGAGGTCATATAAGTGTGAAAACTAAATGCAGCATGTGGTTCCGAATGGGAGCTGAAGATTTCATGATGTCAATGTAGCAGTATTAATTTCCTGATTTTGATGATTGCATTGTGGTTATATAAAAGATTATCCTTGTTTGTAGGAAGGACAACTGAGGTGCTCTGGGATGATTAGGTACCAGGATGACAACCTGCATTCAGGGTGGTGCCTGTAGCTGAGTGGTAGGGTGCCAGCCTCATATCCGAACCTGGCCCCGACCAACTAAAACAGCAGTGGCAACTGCAACAAAAAATAGCTGGGCATTGTGGTGGGCGCCTATAGTCCCAGCTACTCAGGAGGCTGAGACAAGAGAATCAGTTAAGCCCAAGAGTTTGAGGTTGCTGTGAGCTGTGATGCCACTGCTCTCTACCAAGGACAACAGAGTGAGAGTCTGTCTCAAAAAAAAAAAAAACCTGCATCCAAATGTTTCAAAATAAGCTATTTGTACCATATTGAAACTTTTTAATGTTTTTAAATTTCTAAAAATGAACAGTTGTAAAATCTTAAATCAGTTTGGAGGCTTTAATATTAGTACAAAGGAAAAAGAAGTTCATAGTAGAGTATTTCTGAGAGAAGTAGAGATGATGAGATCAATTTCATTAATATCTATAGAGTCAAATTAGCAAATATTGGGAACTGATCTGATCTGGTGATAAGAAAAAGAGAGTATAAGATAAATACCAGATTTGGAATTTGGATAACTAATGATACAATTAACTGAGACATGAGTTATATGAACAAGAGAAGCTTCAGAGAATAGATGATAGGTTTAATTTTGATCATTATTAGCTTTAGATACCTATGTAAGGTCTCAAGAAGTAAGACTATATTTAAAAATAGATGAGGCTAAAAAGAAAGAACTCACCGGTGTATGCACATAGAGAAGATAAAATCCTGAGGAAGAAAAACAATGAGAACTACTGAAAGAGAATGGGGAGAAACAAAAGAAAAAAATAGAAAAGAGAGGGTGTCTGTGTCTATAAAACATCATGTTGCAATTTTGATAGAAGTTACATTAAACCTATAGATCAATTTAGTAATAATAGGCATTGACTATGTTGAGTCTTCCAATGCATTGACACAATTTGTATTTTCACTTGGCATATTCTTTGAGTTCTTTTATCAATGTCTTATTTTCAGAATATAGATTCTGTGAATGTTTTATTAGAGTTACCAAAAAAAATTCTTTTTTTTTTTGGGCTTTGTTGTAAATGGTATTTTAAATTGTTTTTCTTAGTAATTTCTAGTTTGATTTCACTGTGGTCAGAAAATACACTGTATTTGGATTTTAGGTTTTTTAAAATTGTTAAGGTTTGTTATTTGTCCTGACACATGCTATCCTGGTGTATGTTCCATGGCTGTCTGCAAAGAATGTGATTCTACTATTGCTAGTATAGTGTTCTTTAAATATCAATTTGATTATGTTGGTTGATACTGTTGTTGCATCCTCTGATTCTTTTTTTATGTCTAGTTCCTCTATCAACTTTTGAGAGAGGGATATTGAAGTCTTCACTTGTAAGTGTAGATTTTTACATTTATCCTCTCAATTCTGTCAGTTTTTCTTCATGTATGTTGAAACTCTGCTGTTAAATATACACACAGTCAGAATTACTATGTTCCTTGGTGAATTGACCATTTCATCAATCAATATATAATAACCTTTTGTAGCCCTGATAATGTTCTTTGTTCTGAGGTCTATTTCATCCATATTAACATAGCACTTCAGCTTTCTGTTCATTTATGTTTATTTTTAAACTGCGTATATTATTGTATTTCACGTTAGTTTCTCACAGACAGCATGTAGTTGGGTCATGTTTTTAATCTATTCCAATAATCTCTTTTAATTGTTATATTCAAATGATTTGCATTTATCATAATTATCAATATGTTTGAATTTAGGTCTACCATTTTGTTATCTGTTTTCTAGAGGGGTTTTCCTGTCTTTTTGATTACTGTTTCCAGTTTTATAGATTCCTTTTGGTTATTTGAATATTTTTTTAAATCCACTTAAATTATCTCTTGTGATTTTGACATACCTCTGTATAAATTTTTTAGTGTTTATCTAGGGATAATAACATGTATACTTAATTATTCACAGTATATTTAGCATCAGTAGTTGACCATTTCAATTGGAATGTAGAAGCCTCACCACCACATGAATCCCATTACTCTCCCATAGATCTTATAGTTGTCTTGCATATTATATCTACATACATTGAAGATGCCATCATTAATAGACTTTTATTTTCAACTCTTATATATATTTTAAAGAATTGAAGAGGAATAAAATAGCCTTGTTCTGGGCTCTTCCTTCATTCTTGATATTTCAGTCTTTTTTCTGGTATCATTTACATTCTAAAGGATTTACTTTAGCAATTCTTTTACATATATGTAAAAAGTTCCTTCATTTGAAAATTGGCCAGGTGCAGTGGCTAATGCCTATACTCCTGGCACTCTGGGAATCAGAGACAGGAGGATTACTTGAGCTCAGTAGTTTGAGACCAGCCTGAGCAAGAGCAAGCCCCTGTCTCTACAAAAAGTAGAAAGTATAGC